CCCCAAAACCCCAAAACCCCAAAACCCCAAAACCCCAAAACCCCAAAACCCCAAAACCCCTTACTTAAAGTTTTCATTTGAATAAAGGTATTATAAAAAGGAAATAGAATTTAAATCATGGATATAAGTTCGAAGGACCTTAAAAGGTCGACCGTTAAGAGCCATGCAACTCCTGACTCTATCTTCAAAAGGTAAGACACATCAATAAACTTCTGGTGGCTAACTTTGGTATAGTTTGATGGAGATTCATGCTCATGAGTACTTAAGGAACTCCTTCCGCGTGCTTTTAGCATTCCACATCATTGTCCTGTTCTTTACCAGGGAGGGTACTAAGATTGAGACTAATGAGAAGTTCCAGACTGTTCTGAACTTGTTCTACAGCTTGTGGCCATTCCCAACGATGACCATGTCTATTGGTGCAAGTATTGACTTAGTAAGCATTGTTACTAAGATCATCGAGATAACAGTGATTTCATTTTATGCATTCGGAGTACTCCCTAAAATATTCTTATGGAAGAAACCTCTGATCTGGAAATTGCTGAATGCTGTGCTGATCACTTCAATCGTGGTAATGATCCCAATGAGTATTGTTGGGTTCCAAAACTTGGGTCTCCCTTACTCCCAAATAAAGGTGAAGGTGATGTCATTATCTCTTTCTCTTCTCCTATTTATCGAGATCGTTGCTGGAAGAGACGCAACTAATGAGGGTGAGAAGAAGAGCCTAACTGAGCTGGAGAAGGTCAGAAGAAACCCTAATGGATACAAGAACAACTATTACACTTGGGAAGAAATCATCGGTAAGTCTCTTCAAATCTTGCTGTTATCTCTGCCTCAAGAGAGGTTTTAGATGCTTTCTGGCAATCTTAAAGAGAGCCAAGCTAGTTATAAGAAAAATGTGGTATTTTAGCCAATTTTGGCACAAATTTAGCTGAAGGTTAGCTCCTTTCAGAAGTCGTCATTTTTGTACGGTGTTTTTAGGATTCGCTTTAAATTTAACTCCTGAGTTATGTATTTAACCAATCGGATTTAGAACATGACAGAAGATCCGATTGTTGGGCTGTTATTCATGGGAAAGTTTATGATCTGACTGACTTCGTCCCAAGACACCCAGGAGGTGAGATTATTTATGATGGAGCTGGAGGAGATTGCACCCCAATGTGGGAATCCTACCACCCACTTAAACTTGCGAAAAATAGACCTCCAGAGAAGTTCTGCATTGGCTATGTTAGAGACTATAATGACTTCTACAGCTGGGATGGTGAATTCTATGATACTCTTAAGGAAAGAGTTGAGGCTAAGATTCCCCATAAAATGAGAAGATACGACCCGAAGATGTACATTAAGAGTGCAGTTATTCTGGTATCGTGGGTCATCACTTGGTACTTCTATCTTGTTTATTTCAATTATACTTCTGCTTTATTCTTTGCCTTTACATCAGCTCAGCTAGGAGTAAACATCATGCATGATGGAAACCATATGGCTTACAGTAACAACAGATGGATGAATACTTTGGCTGGTGCAGCACTAGAACTCGTCGGAACTTCCTGAGTTATTTACAAAAGGTCTCATGACTTCGGTCACCATGGATGTGTAAACCATCTTGAACTTGACAGAGCATTCGATACCACATTCCCACTGTTGAGACTCCATAAAGGTCTGCCTAGGCTATCATACCATAAATGGCAGTGGGTATATGGCCCAATTGTATATTCCTTTGTAAACTTCGGAGAAATGTTTGGACAGTATGATGAAATCTCCTGGTTATCAAACTACCCAGTTAGAAGAGGATATATCTCAATGAAGGCTCTCGCAAGTAGGACAACTATCGTCTGTCTCTACATTTTCCTATACTGGTGCGTACCTGCATACATGTTTGGATTCACTCGTATGTACTCTGTTTGGATGTTCCAATTTTGTGTTATGAGTCACTTCTACACCTGGTTCTTTGCTGTAAATCATTGGACAACTGAAGCGGGAATGACTGATTTCATGAACATCTCAAAGACCAATTGGGGAGTACTCCAGGTTGAGAATTCCTGTAACTTTGGTACTAAACTCTGGTACTGGAACATTTTGTCAGGAGGTCTAAACTATCAAATCGAGCATCATCTCTTCCCTGGATTCATCCACACCAGGCTATGAGAGATTCAGCCGATTGTCAGAGAGACTTGTAAAGAGTTCGGAATGAAGTACACAGACTTCCCTGACTTCTGGACCGCCATTAAATCACATGTGCAGATGCTCTATGACTATGGACTCCCAGAAGAGGGTGAAGAGCATGAAAAGCAAGACTAATTCTTCTTTGATGCTAAAAGTTTAGATTAGGAACCAATCTACTTTCTACTTGGTCTGTGAGAATTCACTTTGAGAATCCGGACATAAAGTTCCAATTTAAATTCTTAATTCATTAGTTTTGTTAGATTTCATCAACTATGTGACGTGTGGAGGGGTTTTGGGGTTTTGGGGTTTTGGGGTTTTGGGG